TCCCTCTCCCGCTCGGCGCGCGTCAGGCGGAGTCTGGGGAGAGCCTGTGGGAGCGGCCCGCGCCCCGTGTGCCGCGGAGACCGCTCTGTGCTGGTGCCTCTGCCCCCGCCCGGGCGGCTCCCCGCTGGATCCAGCCTGGGGCATGAGTAGTGCCGAGAGGAGCTGACTCCTACCCGCTGCAAAGCAACCCGGATGTTCGCCTCTCCCTGCTGGTGCCAGTAGCGCCTGTGCCTTCAGCCCCCAGCTCTATTGACGTTCCCCAGTATGTCCCGGAGTGTGCCTGGGTGAAACAGCCGGGCTGTGTCTAGACTGGCCAGTTTTTCTGGAAAATCAGCTGCTTTTCTGGGAAAAACTTGCCAGCTGTCTACAATGGCCACTTGAATTTCTGCAAAAGCACTGATGATCTCAGGTAAGATTGTCAGTGTTCTTGCGGAAATACTATGCTGCTCCTGTTCGGGCAAAAGGGCCAGTATAGACAGCTCAGATTTGTTTTCTGCAAAAAAAAGCCCTGATCGCGAAAATGGTGATCGGGGCTTTTTTGCGGAAAAGCGCATCTCGGTTTGCACGGACGCTTTTCCGCAAAAAGTGCTTTTGTGGAAAAGCGTCCGTGCCAATCTAGATGCTCTTTTCCGAAAATGCTTTTAACGGAAAACTTTTCTGTTAAAAGCATTTCTGGAAAATCATGCTAGTCTAGACGTAGCCCTGCTGTTTCAATTTTGTGTAGTCTAGTCAGTGCTTTCCTGGTTCAGGGACCTGACCTCCTGCTGTCCGAGAGCATGTGAGATTTGCAAACATCACTGCACAGACACATGTCCCAAATCACAGTTACCTCTGAATTCCTTTCAGCTGGTTAAACTAGAACAAAAAGGCCCGGAGCCACAGTATGGGGTCATTTGTTTGGAATATGCGCAGCACAAGAAACCTGAAAGAGCTATAAATTAAAAACTGGCTCTGGCCTTCCACACCCTCCAGAGCTTTGATGTCAGTCAGTGTTGAGTAGTTTCAAAGGGATAGCCGCGTCAGTCTGTAACTGAAAAAAAACTTAAAACAAGAAGTCTCAGAGTGCCTTAGAGACTAACAATGTAGATGGTATCATGGGCTTTTGTGGGCACGGCCCTCTTCTTCAGATGGAGTTAAGGGTTTACAAATAACCATTTGGAGAAGTGGGTTGTGCCCACGAAAACTCATGATTCCATCTACATTTTTTGTTAGTCTCTAAAGGTGCTGCAAAACTATTTAGTGTTCAGTAGGTGAGAGGTTCTTACTGTCATGTGTTTTTGCTCAAGCCAGGTTGGTTCTTTTGGATTACAGCTCTGTTGGGGAAGCTCTGACTTAAAGCCCCAGATATTGATACTAACGTTTTTTACTTACAATACTTCAATTTATTGCTTCAATAATATGTTTTTCTCCAAGACAAGCATCAAAGCAGTTTCCAATAGGTGGCTTGATACTTGCTTCCTTAGTAGCCATGCCTTCTGATGATTTTAAAACATCCTTTAGAATCGTAAAAAAATCTGGTATTGAGAGACCAGATAAACTAGACTAACTAGTACTTTTTTTTTTAAAGGAAAAAAGACTGTTTTAACCACTAAGATGAGGCTGATGTATGATAGAAAATACTTTGTAATATGATACAGGCAGTCCCCGGGCTATGTACAAGATAGGGACTGTAGGTTTGTTCTTAAGTTCAATTTGTATGTAAGTCGGAACTGGCATCCAGATTCAGCCGCTGTTGAAACTGACCAGCAGCGGCTGAATCAGACACGCCTGGGGCAGAGCAGCTGGGGTGCTGCTGGGTTGGTCCTGCAGTGCCGCTCCTTGGCGCTACTGGACCAACCAGGCAGCACCCCAGCTGCTCTACCCCCTAAAATCAATTAGCCTCACTCTATCACTCTATATATTTTGCTCTTGTAGGATGCTGGTGTGTTGTACCAGCTTGCACTATGAATATTTTAAATTTATATCTCTCGCTGAAGGGGGAAGTGGATTTTGAGACCTATGGTAAGGTGATGTCACCAAGATTAGAAGTGCTCAGTATCTCAGAACATTATGCTGTGATGGTTGGTGGCGGCTGTAAGGATTTGACTAATTTCAGAAAGTTTCCTAATACAGACATTTTTGTAACTGTTGAAAAGAAGTTAGTGTCTACAACTGCTTTGTCTTCAGTTTTAGATAATTTGTATTTGTCATATCACTAGGCTCCATGCATTAATGTAACTGATTGTATTCCAGCTCTGTTGTACTAGAAGATTGTTGAGGCTGGGACTATGTTTAGTCTTGTGCACCTTTGCTGTTTTGCTCCAGCTGTCCTTGTTGTGCTTATATAGTTGGATCATCACAAAATAATATCTAGCTGTTTTGACTTTTCAGTAACTGATCAGACATCTGGTCTCTGTTTTAAGAACTTATGTACCGTATTTTCCGGCGTATAAGATGACTTTTTATACTAAAAAACATCCCCCAAAAATCGGGGGTCGTCTTATGCGCTGGGTATAAACATACAGGCGGTCCCGCCGCCCGTGTACTCCACAGCGAGAAAAACTGCTTCGCGTCTCCCTGGTCTGCTGGGGGGAAGCGTCGCCCATGCCGCCGGAGGCGACGACAGTGGGGGAGGCACCCCGCACTAGAGGGCCCCCTCCCCCGGTTCGTAACTAGGGGTCCGACGTAAGTCGGACTGACGTAACCCGGGGACTGCCTGTATTGATACAGCTGCAACATTGGTTCTGATACTGCATATGTTAACTAACCTCAATTACCCTGGCATTGAGTGGCAGTTGAGAGAGCTCAGCATCTCATGTAATTAAAAGTCCATGGTGGATAAAAAGAGTGGACAGATCGTGGGAATTTGATCATTGTTTTTTGCGTTACTCTTATTGTTTAATTCTTATTTTATTCTAAAAAATTCTGGCTATGGTAGGATGGAATCTTATCTCATTTACCCTGCTGTAACATCCGTGACTTCAGTAAATGAGATAGGAAATAAGTAGAATATCTGTACAACTTACTGCTTTTAACATCAGCAAGATTTTCAAAAGAGAGCCTTAAATGAGCTTGATGATAAGTCACAAGTTGGACATAGAAAAATTGAGATGCTGAAAATCACTAAATAGCCTCAGAACCATTCATTTCTACACGTTGGGCAATTAAATTATTGACTTTATTATTATTTCTTTTTAAGTTAGTTTGAAGGTTATTTGGGCTAGACTGGTGTCCAACACGCTAGCCACATGTGGCTATTTGACTGGTTGAGTGTGGCAAATTGACTTGAACAATGAGACTGTTTGAACAGTTGTGTGGGGCTAGTTTGCTATAGCAGCAGCCCACTAGTCACTACTGCTTCAGAACTGGTTTGGCACCACATGGCTAGAAACAGACTTTCACTCTGTTTACAGTAAAACTCTGATGGTCCGGCATCTGATGGTCTGGCACTCCTGATGGTCCGGCACCATCAGGAATCCGGAAGTGCTCCGGGCAGCCGGACTGTTGGAGCTGCTCTGCCCCCAGCTTCCCGCATTCAGCAGCTGCTAAAACACCAGCGGCTGAATCCAGGAAGCAAGGGGCAGAGCAGCTGGGGTGCTGCCGGGTAGGTACCATAGTGCTGCCCCTCGGGGCTGCAGGACAAACCTGGCAGCACCCCAGCTGTCCCTGATTCAGCCGCTGCTGAAACTGACTGGCGGCTGACTCCAGGAAGCCCGAGGCAGAGCTGCTCTGCCCTGGGCTTCCTGGAATCAGCCCCTGGTCAGTTTCAGCAGCAGCTGACTTGGGTACACCTGGGACAGAGCAGCTGGGGTGCTGCCGGGTTGGTCCCCTCAGTGCCGAGGTGCGGTGCTGCAGGGACCAACGC